TTCTTAAGTTAAATGGTTCAAATGAGGTACTTAGATCTCGTGAATGTTTTGAAATAATTTGAACTAAAATTTGAGTATTCTAAAATTTTCATTGGTTTCCCATCATATTATATAGTCGACACAATGTTAAATTAACGAATGCACACGTTAAACAGGCTCGCAATATGTTAGATTTTGGTCTTATCTGTTGAATATAAATTGTCAATAATTAAAAATACAAAAAAAGATTAAAACTATTAAAATCAGAAAATCCTGTGGGAACGTACTACCATGTCTACTTAAACACCTTAGTAGATTGTTAGGAAAATTTAAACATCATCGTAGATTGATATGGAAATTGTTATATCTACATATTTTTTTACTTTCACTTACGTGTATGCAATATATGTTAAGCGTAAATATTGCGATCACGAAATAATTTGAATCTGAGTTATCAACTGAAGCACAAATTTTGATGTCTCCTGAATTCACAATAACCACTAAGTCCCACAAAATGTTCTGTGTGTGTATGTGAACAGCCTAGCTCAAAAATGAAAAATTGTACGAAACTGAAATTGCTTATTTTAGGTTTGTATATGCCTGGGACGTTACAGCAACTTTTTCGTCAAAATCGGAGATCTGGATATGGTACCCTATATCATCGATTCAATACATTTTTAAAATTTTGATTGAACTCATAAGATCAGTGTATTATTAAGTGGATTTTAATATAACGTAGGTTTTATCCTCATCGATGAAACTCGTCAGGGCTTAAATGTCGATTTTTAAACATTTCTTTCTTTAAAAATATTCAGAATTTTCCCAAATGATCCATTTTCTTCATAAACATTAGTATTGTTTGATACTATACAGTCTTAAAATAAAAGTGATGCAAATGTATGATTTTAACTTATTCAATTGGTAGGAAAAATATAGTAATTAGTTGTGTTTAATGAAGTTATACCGTCGTTTTCCCTTCCATTTCCTATAAGAAAATACTTATCTACTCTAAGGTTGGTAAGAGACAGTTGTGTGATGCGCGCACCAGGTTTTTAAACTAGGTGTTGTAGTCGGCTGTCGGTTCTCTACACATTACTGCTTCTGACAAATAGATTTCCTCTCATGTATCGGTGCATTCCTACATCCGTTCGGGGTAGGCACACGACTAATAGACCAAGTTTAGATATACGTAGATATCATTTACCTATCAATCTACTAAGTTGTTTACATAGATCAGAAGTACGTTCCCTTGGGGTAGAGATGGGAAAATGCTACTCTGAGTTCTGAATACTCAAGTATTTTACTCAAACCTAAGAGAACTCTCTAAGTGCCCCCAGGGACTACTCCAATTTTATTAGGTTATCTTAATTTCCTATGTCCGTCTTATATATATGTAAAAATTTTTGTATTTTTTTTCTTATATTTTTTAATTAACTTTTATTGTAAATATATAATTAATTTATGACCAAACAGACACGCAATCTGTGCTTATTATTTGTTCTAAAGGGACAGCAGTCCCAGAATAATAAAATATATTTTCATTCATTCATTTAAAAAAAAATAATGACTTTTTTTTATTTCCAAATAATTTAATTACTACTTCAGTTGATGTCAAACGATTAAGTAGTGATTGAATTCCCAATAGTGAATCATTTTGAGTCAAATAATTGGTACTGGGTACTTAGAGTATCATTTGTCAATCTCTACCTAGGGATAGATAGGATTTTCCCATTTCTGTAGTCGAGTTTTATTTTAATTCATATGTTTTTGGTTTATTATTTTCAATAATCAACCATTGTGATAGACCAAAAAATTCAAAAACTTAATCCCCTCTCAAAATTTGAGGTTTCACGTTTCAGGATGCGTAGAATCCGAAAAACGAATTAAATTTTTTTTTGTCCGTCCACCGTCCCCGCATTTTCTCCGATACTAACTACTGGACCGTTTTTTATTTAATTTGCAACCGTGATATCAAAATTATTTTTATCTTAGCCGTTCTTTACATTCATTAATAATATTTATAAATATGTAATTAACTGTAATAACTACTGAATGATTGAAATATTCGACAATTAGATAAGCTATACACAACAGATAAAGAGGATATGACGGGTTGTCATATGCAAAACGCCTAACGCATCCTCCGAAACGACTCTCTCTCCGTTCTGGTTCAGCTGCATCATCCTCCATTCACCATTCACCCGAGCTGGAAGATGGTTTCCGATCTTCCGCTCAACCGTGTACCGCAACTTATCCAAACGCTCCAAATCCATCTCATTTCCGCCGTTATATCCTCTCTGCTCCAACGGTACCGCCATCGTTCAATGGCTCATAGATCCGTTTCTTGCAGAGTTGTCACGAATAAACCGTTACAAAATGGAAAAAAAAGAGAAAAACGAAAAAAAAGAAATGCTGCCCCAAATATGTCTCGACCCCAAACGTGCCTTACATATCTCTTTCCACGGCCCGTATAATTAGTTTTTGAACAGAAAACGCCGTTTATTCTTTAGTTACCCGTATAGAGAGTCTGAAATTTGTTGATCTGACAGAACTTGGACGTATGACGACATTTACAGAATATTTGGATGGTAAAATTTAGTAAGCTATGTTCCATGTTAGTCTAATTTGGCTGGTTTTAATTTTATTATGGCGTATAAATTATTTTGGCAATATATATTTTTTTAAAAAAATATCTCTCTTAATTAATTATTTGAGAATAGAGCATGACTAATATAGTACGTTTTATTAAAACAATTATTAAAACGGGGCAATCAGAACTAAAACGTAAAAATTAAACATAATGTTTATGAATTAATTTAAAAAAAAAAAAATCATGAACTACTGACAGATGAATGTATTAGACCGTAGTACAGACCTCTTTTCATCGAATTATTAACATCCGTGTGAAACTTCATAAATATTTTCGTCTCGTAATCTACAACTATTTCATTTACGAAAACTCTTGGAATTGGGGCGTTTTCAATCTGGAGGGAGACAAACTTTGTCTATTTAATTAGATACTAAAAACTTGTAAATATCCATTTGCTTTCTACTTGGTTCGTAAGATAATCACAAAATCGAGAAAAAAGGTGGCCTTCTAAAATATTGAACCGTTTGGCGTGCCTACACCCCCAAATGTTCAAATGTGTTGGAGGTTGGCATAGCTTTTTGTGCTTCCGATAAATTTCCTGACTTAATTTATTTTGTATTTTTCATCTTTTGGTAATTATTTTTATACAATTTATTTTTTTGTTTTTTTTAGCTTAATTTTGTTGGTGATATTTATATTAAAAAACTTTATACTTATTACGTAATGTAAAAATATAACATATATAACACTAAATGTGTTTAATGCCATAGCGCATTTTACTAGTAACCAAAAACGTCTTTAGAGTTACTATAAAAGAAAAATATAAATATAATACATTATTAATATATAGTTTTTGAAATATTAAAAGTATAAATCTAATAATAATCAACTCAGGAAACCGTAGATTGGTTAGTATACTGTTAGAGCCTCCAAGGCTCAATCCAGTGAAAGCTCGAGTTCCTTCATTAAATACTAAACCTCAGGCAAGGCCTACCACAATCTAATGCCGCTTTTGCCTTGTCTTTAACTCAAGTCCACTTTTATCCAAAAACTATTTTTCAATTCTTCATTTAGTTCATTGGGCGACAAAAATAATTTGGTATTCGCATTATTAATAAATACTTAATTTTTTTCCTTTTTCTTTAGCATATGTAACATTAAAGGAATAAGACAAAGATTTGGCCATAAGATTCGAATAATTTCATGAAATTCGGAAATAACTATTTAAGATATGTTACATAAGTTGAATTAAAAAAAAAATGTTGCTAGAATTTTTATTTGGGCTTTAATGTGTGACGATTTAAACGGGCAGGTAAAATGGAGGTTAAAATTAATTAAATCTTAAAGTTGTAGATTTGTGTTTTGACGATAGTGGTCTCAGCATCGAACCTTCGGGTTTAAGCAGATCAAGTCCTTGAAAAATATATATAATGTTGTGTAATATATTCTGGTTTTTCAAAAATGTACTCGATCTTTACACAGTTTATAAAGCTGATATTCCAACCATTCTTAATCTGTCATAATCAAGTATTAGTTAATTGCATCTCGAACGTTTCAATCATACAAAACAAACCTTGAAGAAAGGTGTAAAAACTGCAGTACTAAGATAATTTATAATAATAAACCTATAGTCCAGTAACTGTATCCTTTAATAATAATCCAAATATTTCTGTTTGACAAATCCGACACTTAAAAGCTTGACAAACGCCTAACATGGAGTCCTCATACATGACAAACTACAAGAAACTACTCGATGTTTCCGGCTAGTTCAACTTTTTTCTACACAAACGGTCTAACCTTACAATTAATTACAACAATCTCGTTTACATCCCTGTAATAACTCATGGAGTTTGACATCTAGGCCTCAACTTAACTCATAGAATTCCGCTTGTTTACAATCAATGATGCTTCGTAAAATTCTTAACGCTCCTTACTTTGTCTAAAATAAAATCCTCAAGTAATTTTAATGTTCTTCGTGTTGCTGGTTTGGCCCGAACCCGATAGCCACTCTTCCATTATGAACTTCACATCCAGATCTATTTATTTTTTTAATTTGTTTCCTCATCGACCCCTAGTAACCCATTGAACAGATATGTTCATTACCTCCTAATGTAGAACGTTTAATAGAATACATGCCATTATACTTTTCGGTTCACATTTACGAGTCCTATTTTAATTTTAATATATTTTTAAATTTCATAAATAAAAACAGTAATGCAGTGTTCTATGCTCTTTAGTCAATCTTTATATTTTTTTTTTCTTTTGGCATAATTTAAAATCATCAACCACCCTTAAAAAACCCTTGAACTAATAGTGGACTGAGTCTAATGTCTGCTAAGTCTAATGTTTTTTACTCGAACAAGGTTAAGACGACCTAGTTGTTCTGTTCTCTCGTTCATACCCAGTACCATAAAGCGGAAGAGGTACTGACCTGAGGAGGAAGTGGGTAGTCCTGGTAGCAGGTGGCGGTGGCGGTGATGTAAGCGGAAGCTACCATGAAGAAGCCGAGGATGAAGCTCACCGCGATCAATGTGACCGCTGCGATCCTCGCGATCTGGACAGCCGTGGCTCGTGGTCTCACGTAGGCCTGCAAAATATATATTATAGTTAATTATCACTTAATAGTAATAATAATAATAATAATAAATAATAATAATAATAATATAATACAAGATGACAACAGTAACAGCAACATAAAAATGAGGCAATTAAACTAATGTTTTTTTTTTTTAGTTGTTTATTATTTTAGAAGGAATTAGATTCTGATGGTTTGGTGTATAATGTTGTATTTTTTATTTTATATTCAGACACTGAACATTTTTAAATCAGTATTTCAAATATGTTTGAGGTCAGTTTTCGGGATAGCACATAGTGATTTCAACGGTGGGTCAAGATGCAAGTTTGGTTTGAATTATTATTACGTCCCATTAACTCATGATTTAATGTAATTATTATTAGTAATCAAATAGTTATTTCTTTATTGAAGTAATTTTATTAATTATGGCTGTCCATTCAGGACCGAAACTAGGAATGGACAAAGATCAGGAGTTAGCAAACTGGATGCCTCACAGTGAGACGAGTAAGGGAAAACTCGCGACATCCGCTAAATCTATTTATTTATTTTTTTGTTAGAACTCCAAAAACTAGATGAACTAGATGTTGTATTGATACCTTTGTTAGTTGGCAGAAAATACATTTTTTACTGTTTTTATTGAATAGTTCAGTTGAAAAAAAGTTTTATTTTACTCGTCTCACTGTGTGCCGTGGCAATAACATTTAATTCCACAATTTAAAAATTGGGGTCATAATTGTCAATTCGGTATAGTTTAATTCTGAAAATATATAACCATCAAAATCAATCAAAGTTATTTAAATGATTAATATATATGAAAAAAATTTCATTTAGTTTATATACATATATTTAATAATGGGTTAAGATTATATTATAGCATCGTGATAAATAAGAGTTTCTGTCTTTACTTTAGGCCTACAGGGGCCTACAGGGGTACTACGAAATCTTGGAAGTTTGACTATGGTACTTCTTTACGTTTTTCGGTTTCATTTACAGTTTAGAAATGTTCAGAAAAAAAGTGTTTAACGTGATTTGAGTTCCATTTCATTTTAATATGTGGGCCTCATATCATCCTTCTGTCTGAGATAAATCCGAAATAGTGTATGGTTTCGTCTGAGAAATTTGTTAATTTTCTATATAAATTGGAGGACAAGTATTTCTTCTTAAGGAAAATTGTATTTGTTTTGATTTATTTTGGTTTAGTAGAATTTCCCATAATTTGTATCAGTCATAAAATTTATAAAAGTGATGTTGAGAATTTAGTGTGGTTTGTGTCGAGTCTTGATTTTTAAACTTTAAAAAATATATTAAAGAGTTTGCATAGGAAGCTGATTATATTATTTTCTCGCAAGCTCTTCACCACCACCCATATCCAGGAACCGGATACTCCCACAGCTGAGAGAAGATGATGTTACTCTCCAAAGCCTTCTTAATCGACCGTAGATATAATAATATTTATCCCGAACCTAAGGGACTGGAGGGATGGAGAAGCAACCTACTTATCCCGGCAGCTCCACTTTCTACTCCCACATAGCGGAGGACCCCTCTCTGATTAACTGGAAAGCTCTCCAGCTGTCCTCTCTCCTGGCGCCAGTCGGTCCATCAAGACCTGGAGGAACCTATCGGATGGTACCCCATCCTTCGTCGGCTTAGGGGAAGAAGGCCAGGTCCATTGAACCTTATCTGATCTTCTACTCTCTGTCAACAAGCATGTTTACAGTAGGAAAATAAAACGTAATATCTACACCATAGATAAAACGGTAAATATAGAACCATTTTAGGGCACTCAGGAGTAGTGTTGCCCAAAATCGGCCTAACTGTTGCAAGACCAAGATCAAGAATAGTAAATAGAAATTGATTTTTAGAATAAAAATTAAGGCAAAATTGATACTAATACTAGACAATTTTAGTTTCTCAATCTAAAGAATTGTTATAAACAATATACTTTGCATTTAAATCTTCTGACTTTTCATTCGGGCTTAATTTGGTTGCTCCTATCTAAGAAAATACAATAATAGCTCTATTGTATTGAGCTAATAACGCGAGATTTTTGCGCAAGACCAAGACTGAGTACGCAATACCAAAAGTCGTCTTTTTTTTAATCGGCTCCTAGAAACGACATTGCCAAGAGCCCTCGGACATAGATCTGGTATTATTCAACCTATTATCAACAACAAAATATTTTAATTTAATTCGGTGACCCCACGTTAACTTCTTCTATTTAGTTAACATTCCAACATTGTAGACCATGATATCTCGAGAACACGGCGTAGGAATCGCAAATATGGTGCTGCCCTGGTTCCGAGCTGTTCTCCTTGGGCGATGACCTTGCTATAATTAGTTGCCGTCACCAATAAGAAAAGATTTCAATGCACTATTGTGTTTATGGGCGAGGATTCAAAGCCCTCGTTTAGGTCTTGTTTTAAAATCACTCACGATTGTCAAAGCGTGCCTCTTTGCAACCTTCAACAGGCTCTAACTGATTCGCCTCTTGACCTCATACCTTAAAGGCATAATTGATTAATTGTATTTCCAAACGTTTTGGCCAAGAAAAAAAAAAAACAGGATTTTCTCTTTTAAAAAGTACATTGAAAGATTTGGACGATATTTCAAGCAGATAAATTTACTCTTCCCGGACATTAAAATATCCACAGAACTACATGAAAAAAAAAAATTCTCTCCGCCTTAATATAATTCTATTATAGTAATTTTATATTCTAATCACTTTAGATTTGAAGAGCACACACACACACACAAAAAAAAAAGGATATTAGTCTATAGAAATGTTTTAAGTGGAACAGTAGAAACACGCTGGTTTGAAAACTTTCATGGAAAAAAATCGTGTAAATTTGAGCTGTTGTAAAATTCAAGTATATAAAAGACAGATTTCGTAAGGGTTAAATATATTTTCCTCGAAATAATAAAATTTATGTCAATAAGATTTCATTTTTTTTTTTATTGTAAGAATGTGTTTATATTTTGTTTAAAAGTTAAAATTCGTTCGTCAGTGATGGGAATATAACCACCTCTCTCTCAGCTCCTAGCTTATTTTATTTATCTATAGAAGTAAATTAAATACATTATATATTAAATAGTTTTACCCGGGAATGACAGAATAAAAGAAAAAAACTCTTATAAAATTATAGATATGCTTGTGAGCATTGAATGTAAGATTAATGGTTTTTTCAATTTAGTTTTTCTACTTAAAAAAAATATTAAGTGAAGATTTGAATGTACTGTATTGTTAAATTGCGGTGACATCAATAAAGGGCGATTTAACAAACACGATAATATTTTCAATTAATAATGTATTAAATATCTTATACCATTAAATATATAAAATGAATTACCGAAAACCATTCTAATTCTTGTTAAATGCTAGTTAGATGGGCACAATATTTCCCGCGGGTAGATGATTTCTTGCAAAATGATAACCACAGGAACTGGATTGGAGACCCCTGATTTAAAATATATAAATGTTTTTCTGTGAAACCATCAAGCTTAAGTTGGAGAGGTTTTCTTCGAAGGGTAGATGTTAAAAATAACTGTATTCAATAATACAAAAATTAAAATAAAAAAAATTAGCTTGATTTTATTTCAATATTTACGTCCAATTTAATAATACAATTTTTTTTTTGTCCATAAAAGATGTATTTGCGCCTGTCAACTTATTGTTGACAATCAGAAAATGTGATGGCGATACATGAAATAAAGACATGACAGGCATGGGGAAGGAAAGTACTCAGCAGTACCTCTTCCCTAACTTGTTCCAATTACTTAAGTTGTTTAAGGAAGGAGATCTCTCGTCCAACGCCTTTTTAGTCTCCTCCTCATGTTCTGGGGTATGTCAGCTGTGACCATGTCTTTTATTAGTCTGTTATTATGTCCATTTAAATTTGTGTAAAATCGTCGATAAAGAGTCGTTATATGTTGATGAAGTGTTTGAAAGTGGAGGTCAGTATGTAGAGTTTTGTTAGTCACGTACCAAGGTGCTTTTGTTATAAGTCACAATAATTTTGTTGGAAATTTTTGTAGGTGGGTCTTTTTAGCGATGCCGTATATTTGTGAGGAGTACGTCAATATGGGCTTAATTAAGTATGTATATGTATTCAGTTTCTGTTTAAGTTTTAGTTTTGAGATTTAGAAAAAAGAGAGTTAGGAAAATACAATTAAAAATTATTTACTTATAGACAGTTAAACATCCTCACATAACTTAAATATTAATCGATATATCCAAATAACTATAAAATAGCTAATAAAAACAGTGAAGAATGTTTTTACATTACACTTGGCCATTAACAAGCTTTAAGTAACTAGGTACTTGTGAAGTGTCACTTTCGTAACTGAGTATCAAGCTCATTGCGTAAGTTACATGTCTAGAATAACTCGTCTTCACAGCTTACACAACAACCAGCCGACAACATATCACTTCCAGCTCGAAAAGTTCATAAAACTCTGAGAATGCAATGCATCCTGTCTTCTTGCGTAACTGAGGCATAAGATCAGCTGCTATTATGTTGCCAGTAAAATTTTCCTAACCGGGCAATTGAAGCGGTTACACAATGGTTTCGAGTATTAGGTAAGTTTTTCTAGTGATAATGGGCTCAGTTATACGCACTTTTATAAAGAAACAACGCAAGTCATTGGGTATAACAGTTCGGAATACTTTTTTTCTAGAGGACTATTCATTCGTTAGTCATGGATTTTGAAAACGTTTTTCGTACAAAAAGCACAAAAGAAAATCATGATTTGCTAGTAAAGAAGAATGTTTTTTTGATAATTTTTTTTCAGAATTTCTCTGAAAATAATATACTTTGGTACTGTATCGAAGGTCATCGATAGGAGAGGTGGGTGAGGATGCGTTTTAAGACTTTTTTGGTTGAGGCAGTTTCTGTGACTTTTGGGAGGTCTCATGATTATGTATTTTTCCGCTACATTTGGACACTTCCAGCGGCCATCTTTGGATTAAGTCAGCTGGAATTCGGAATGTAATATTACTTTCTAGAGCAGAACAA